TTTTTTTTTTTTTTTTTTTTTTTAAGGCTCCTTTAAGAGTAAAGTAGGTAGCATGTATTAACATCTGTGTTTGGAGGTCCTTGTTGTGCTGTCTGTCCATGTACGGTGGGTGAGGCTCCAGGAGCTGTTGGTGCCCCTGTGTGATGGGAAGGTCTGAGACACGGAAGGTGTACGCGCCTCTGGGGTATAGAGATGAGAGTGGGTTACGATAATTGAATAAAGCGTCAGTTCTGGGCAGCAGATGAGCAGGGGTGGGACGGTTAGTTTCAGAATAACCAGGTTCCTGACTATTTTCTGTGTGTGCGTTTTTTCTTTTAAGATCTCTGCGCTTGTCCAAAGAGCCCAAGCGTCTGAGCTCTTGCTTGAGGACTTACAGCAGGGGTTTTCCCAGGCAAAAAGGGATGTTCAGGAACAGATGGTAAGTCAGTGTTTCAATAAACATTAACTATGTGAAATATACTCCTTTTTGTTCTGTCTTGAAATCCTCTCTGCTACTTTACCTTCCTGGCCAGGTGGTTACACTGTTCCGTTGTCCGGGGCCTAAGTGACATCTGTACCAGAGAAGGTCATGTGAAGGTGCAGCTGTTTTGCAGACCTGCCTTCGTGACCAAAACATATTCTTACCTTTAACTTGCTTTACTTTTCTGCTTTCGGAAACCTCAACAGAGTAAACTTTGGACTAACCTTTAATTGTGGGTTCCAAGTACATGCTGAATATCGAAATCTCCCAAAGCCCAATGGATGGAGCTTTTGAACAGTCCTGCACTTTTCCTCAACAGCTCGTTTATTTAAAGCAGTCCGATTCATTTCACAGGTATCCTGACGGCATGGAGAAGCTTCCAGAAGGCCGTCTGCCCTGAGGGGGTTGGGAGCAGAGAGCTTCTTGACGAAGGGCTGGCTGGGACCCCTGCAGAGTAGCCCCCCACATTTGGGCCTCGCTTCTCCCCAGACTGGTTCCATGTGCTGGGTTCATGCTTTTCCTGAGTCGGAGCCTGCGTCTGAGGGCCCTTCGTAGATGATGGCAGGGCCGGGGCTGCTGGGTGACCCCACAGAGCCGCCTCCTGACGGGGAAGAGACGCCTCCGGCCGCATGGAGATGCTGTTTCTGATCGGCATTGGGTCAGCAGCCAAGTGGCCTTTGAGGCGATCCCCGAATTCTGGCCCTGGTCTCTTGAGGAGCTGCCCTTCTGGTCACTGACGGGGAGTGTAGGGTCTTCCCAGTGCTCAGAGAATTCGAGATCATAGTCGTTGCCTAGAAACCACTGGGGATGCCCACAAGTGTCATCCCATTAGCCTCCGTGCTCCTCTCTGTCCTCCCTCAACTCTTCCCCGCGTGCCCTCTAAGCCCCGGCTGCCTTCGCAAACACTTTCCAGTGGATTCCGCTTTAAGCGAGTGTGTTGTGGGTGACACTGGAGGAGTGTTGCATGACGTTGAGGTCCCGGGAACCGTTTTCTGGAGGTTACCTTCGAAGGTTCTTGCACTGAGAGCAAGAAACTCAACTTCTGGCGTGTCTTCCGAGAAGCGCAGACATGGCAGGGGTTGGGATCTTAGTGTTTCCCCCTAACATCGCAAAAGATTTCAGCCTCGAGAGGTTTGCGGAAGGAACACTCTGAAAACCTTCAGTTAGATTTACCAGTTAATATTTTGCCACGTTTTCACACGCGTGGCAGTGGTAGGTCACTCTTTCGTCCACGCACGTACCCGTGTTTCCTGAGCCGCTGTAAGTAGGCGCTGCCGGGTGTGTCCACACACATCTTCTCAGCACAGAGAGGCGTGACTGTTGTCCCCAGAGTCCATGGTGGTTTTCAGTGGTGGTTCCAGTTTCTTACTTTGACTTTTTGATGGAGGAACCAGTCCAGGATGTCTTGTCAGTTTCCTCTCCTTTCATCTCGAGCAGTCACCACTTGTTTTTGGCTTTCATGGCGTTAACACTTTCGAAGGGTCCAGACCGGCTGCCTGGGAGAATCGCGTGTCTGATTGTTTCCGTGATTGGATTCAAGTTAGATTCTGGGCAAGAACAGCCCGGAGATGAACTGATTCAGCGGGAATTCAGGACAGCGAGGCGCACGTTCTGACAGGTGCCCCGTTATCAGTGATGTGAAGGTGACTGCTTGGTCAAGGTGGGGACGGAATTGTTGCAGAAGGACTGTTAACACGGCCACCAACTGCAAAATTAGTAAGTGAAATCCAGGGTTTGTCTGTGGTTCTTTTGGCTCTTAGACTGTATCCCATCTAGGGATTTACAGTCTGAGTACTGTGTTTAAAAGTTACTTAAATTAGCTCTATTGGTTTCTGTTTGTATTAATTTTTGGATTCACTTTTCCTTGAACACCCAGCACGGCTCACAAGGCAGAACTGTGCAAGCTCGCAAACGCTCAGATTTCTTCTGTTTTCTAATCTTTTCACCCCATTCCTGCCCCCTCCCATGTAGGATCATTTTAACTTACTTTTGGCTTATCCTTGTGTTTTTCTCGTTACAAAAGTAAGCAGATACATGCATTTGATTCTTTCCCTTCTTTCAAATGCCAGCGATTGGACGCCGGTATTTTGTTGTGAATGGGTAGGAGCGAGCCCGAAGCACGGCCAAGTCTGGTCTGAAGTCAGTGCAAGTAAAACCTGCCAGGTTGTGCAAGACCTTGTCCGCCCGCCAGCAGCCTGTGTGTCCTTGAGGACGCAGCAGCCGCCCTCTCTGGGCCATGCTCTTGTGCTCCCCGCCTCCCCCCACCCTGCCTGTCCTTGCATCCCTGCTGCTCCCCGTGTCTTTGGCCGCACCTGCAGCTCGGCCGGGTCAGGGTCGGTTCTCCCTCCGCTGCACCGGGAGCTTCTCTGGGGCACGGTGTCGGTCTTGTGTCTCCGTGTCCCGGTGCGCAGCAGAATGCCCAGACGGAGAGGCAGCTGCTGATAAATGTTGGAGGAGTGAGTATTCCACGTTTGTACGTCATGTAAGTTAAATGCCTCAGTATTAAAAATGAGCAGAAGCCCAGCACTTTTGTAGGATTTTATCACATGCTCAAACAGAGTAACTCTTCACTGACGCGAGGCCTCCCTGAAGACCTGAAGGTGCGTCGCGGTCAGCGCGCAGAGTAGCCGCCTGGCGTCCCTGAAGCCCCCACGCGGAGATCCCCGAGTGCTCTCTTCCAGGGTCTGGGCTCCCAGGGCCGTGCTCCGTGCTCGTGACATGTGTGTGGTGGGGGGGGAAGGCGGGGCTCGGTCCCCGGGCTTGTGGCGGATACACGCCGGGGGA